AGAGAGACACCCTGGCCCTTCTGTGACAGAGCCCAGCAGCGGGGAGGGAAGTGGTGCAGGGAGTGCTGAGCTCAGCAGACTGTAGGCGGCTTGAATCTGACAGAGTGCACGTGTGAGGTCTGGATGGACATCAAGGGCGGGGATGGGGGGCCAAGGAAGACTCAGGGCACCCTGCTTGGAGGGGGGCAACCCTAGAAGGCAAGGGGTCTTCACCACAGCATTTACAGGAGACAGAAGAGGTCCGGGAAGTGGTGAGCAGCTGGGATCCTGGCCTTTAAATGAAGGGGGGTGCAGTACAGAAGGACTGGCCTTCAGGGGGTTCCTCAGGGTTTGGGGCCAGCTTGAGCTGTGGGTCCAATGCCCAGAGGAAGGGGTAAAGCCAGAAGCAAGTCACAGGGCACAAGGGAGAGGAGGGAACCAGTAAAGAAAAGAGAAGCAGCGTCATTTTTAATGGGCAAAGGGAGGAAGGAATCAGGGCCTGGGCAGAGGGGCATCTGGGCAGCTTCTTAGAACTCAAGCCAGATGTGAGGGTGATCTGGCCACGACATCTGTCACCCCAGTGACCACCAGGGTTGATTCGGCGGAGCTGGCCGGCCAGGTGAGTGTCCCCTTCCTCCCTCACCTCTCCATGTGCGTCCCTCCCAAAGCTGTGTGCTTGGTCCAAGAGGACAGTTTCTGAGGTCAAGCCTGTATAAGTAGCTGTGCTCCCCTCCAGACAAGCTCTCGAGGTCCTGGGCCTCAAGCCATGGGAAGAGAGTCAGACATGTGGGCTGGCAGAGCTGGGGGACCTGGGATGTGGTTTTAGCTCCAGAGTGCAGAACTTGCCTGGCTTGCATGAGACCTGGTCTTGATCCCTCGTACAGCCAGAACATAAGTGGAGACCTGAGGTGGCAAGGTGTCCATGTGACATTGCAGACCAAGAGGGGGACTTCCAGGTCACACCCCACAAAGGTCTGAGGAGGTGGCACTTAGCAAGAAACGGAGAGGAAACTCCAGCTTCGGTGTCCTGGGCATTGATCACAAAGCTACTAGAAACCACAGGATGTGGTTACAAAGAGTCAGGGGAGTCGTGGTAAAACCCACATCAGATTCTGTCCTGCCTCTGTTCTGAACACTCCAGCGACTCCAGCTCAAGCAAAGCCAGAGCCTGTCTGATGCCCCACAAGGCCCTACACGATCGTGTTACATGAGAATTTATGGTTGCTGGGTATTATATACTACTCCATTACTCCAGCACCCTGGGAGGCTGAGGCAGGATGATCACGTTTTAGCTTGGCCTGGGCAACTAAGTGACTTAGTAAGACCCTATCTCAACAAAACAAAACACCCCAACAAACAAACAAGCAAACAGGTCTGGGGATTTAACTCAGTGTGAGGGAATTGGGTTCAATCCCAATAATGAAGAAAAGAGAAAGAAAAAGAAACAGGACTTATTGCCTGTCTCACCTTATAGAATTGAAGTTCAAGGAGGGCAGGGGCTTTGGGACAGAGTAGGTCTGTTCAGCACTTTTTCCTGGGAGGACCTCACGCCACCTGTGGCAGAGACGTTACCATTCTCACTTTACAGGTGGGAAACAGGGTTCCAGGAGAGCAGGAGCTTTGCTTGAGTCTCACCGAGCCTGATGTCCAGTCAAGTTTTTGGGAACTCGGGTGCCAGACACAGGTCAGCCTGGGGGTCCCCAAGAGTTCAGGCCCGAGGAAATAGGTTTCCTAGAAGGGAGTCGGCAAGGGCAGCCATGGATGTCATCTGCTCAGGCCTGCATTGCTGGGGCCAGCAGGGGGTTCTCTTCAGCTGCCCTCGGGCTTCTGTCCTCCTCCCCTTCCCTTAACACTGGGGTTCTTTCAGTTCCCTCTGGTGACACGCTTCCTTTGCCCCTTGGTCCCTCTAGTCGCACACGCTGGCTTCTCTGAATCAGGGGAGGACCCTCTGATGGCACCACCTGTGCTGCTGCCCTGCGGTACCCAAACACTGGCTGCCAAAGCCTCCCTGCTCCCCATGGCCCCTGCCTCCCCAGCCAGGGGGAAGTGAGATTAGTTGCAAGGGGCCGGGTGAAGGCTCACTTCCCCTTCACCGGCTTTTCCATCCCCAGCACAGGAACGCTGGGGGGCCCTTCTTGGAAGAGTACTATCCTCTCCCAGGCCCTGTCTTCCTCCTCCTGCATCTCTGGCCTGTGGTTGGTTCAGAATCTCCCTGACCAGGGAAGGTAGGAAGTGAACAGTGTCCCTATGTGGGCCCAGAGCCTCATGCTGATGCTGGGAGCCCAGTAATGTCACACCTCCCTTTCAGAGACAAGGGACTGGGAAGCAGTGTCCCCTAAAGTGTGCGAGCTGAGTCCAGAGCTGGAGGCAAGCTGGGGTGCCCCTCCACCCCACCCACATTCCCTGCTGGTGAGTGGAGGCCTCATCTGGGCTAAGGGGACAGTGGGAGGGGGAGCTGGTCTCGTGGTCCGTCAGATAGCGTGACTGTGTCACGAGGATGACGGGAAAAGAAAAATGTTCTTTTTCTTTGTTACCCAGAATTGAGCTCTGGACATTTCACTTGGCAGGCGGGCGTGATGCCACTGAGCTACATCCCTGGCCCAAGAAAGTTGTTCCTGGCTATCTCTGGATGAGCCAGGCCCTAGAACTACAGGGGGAAAAAAAAAAAAAAAGCAATTTTGTTTTGAAAGAATTGTTTTGAAATGCTTAAAAAAATGAAATGTTTAAAAAATGTTTTTGTGGGGGTTTCTGTTGTTATTTTTGTTTCTTTTGAGACGGTCTCAATGTGTAGGTCAGACTGGCCCTCAATTTTCTATCTCCTGTCTCAGCCTCCCAAGGGCTAGGATTACAGAGGTGCTCTACCATACCTGGCTCTACACTTAAAATTTTAAAAATATGAAATAGTGAAGTGCTCAGCAGCTACAAATAATAAAACACATATATGTATTTCCATTTTGTATTAGGGTACACAGTTGAGGGGGAGATACAGAAAAAAAGTTAAAACACAAAAGGCATCTTTTTGCCATGAAAGAGCAATCCAGGTATTCCTGGAGAGATGGGGAGGTGAAAGTTCTGATTCAACTAATACTAAAGTACTTGTAAAAAATGCAAGGCTCTAAATTCTAAAGACTATAGTGTTATCTAGCAGGCCAGATATTTTATTTAGGGTTTATAACTTTGGACTTCTCTTCATTAACAGTATGTTCAACTGAACTAGGCTGATGGCGTGCCCCTGTCCATCCAGCTACTCTGGAGGCCAGGAGTTTAAGACCAGCCAGAGCCCCCTTTCCAAAAGCAAAAACAAAAACTTTAATTAAAAATACTATAGAGCTGGGGGTTTATTCAGTGGTAGAGCACTTGCCTAGCACGTGCAAGGCCCTGGGTTCTATCCCTACCTTCAAATAAATTAAAAGTAATAGTAAAAAATGACCATAGAAAATGAATTATCAGCTGCACTGGTGCCTGCCTGGAAAGCATAAGGTCCTTAGTTCTATCCTCGGTAGAGGGAGGAAAAAAAGTAATGAAATGACAGGAGTGGCCCCTGAGTAGGCCGATTTGAGTAAACATTAAAATCACAAACTAGACCAAGGGGGAAGAGGGGTCTGTGCAGCCCTGGACCCCATCAAGCAGAGGCAGTCAAGGCAGACTCCTTCCCAGAGATGCCGCTGCTACAGGCAAATGGACAGCAGGAGTCCCCTAGCGCTGAACTTTCCAGAAGGAACCTATGTGTGAAGCTTGAGGCTGGCGGACGGAAAACCATCCAGCGCGGCAAGCAGATGGATTGGTGGTCTTGGTGAAAGAGCGGGCGCTGGCCACCACGCATTGGCCCTGGAGGACAGACCCGGTGTCAGGGCTGGGGCCGGGCAGGTGCAAGGTGGGGATGAGAAGGGTGGTGGCCGGGATCCGCCCCTGCCGGAGACCAGGGCAGGCGGTCCACTCAGCTGTGTGGCGCGATGGTGGCCCGAGAGCCCGGGGAAAGCGCGGCTGGGAGGCCCTGAGCACTGCAGGGCTGGGGCCCGTCGTCGACGCATTCTCTTGCGGTTCCAAGTCCCCTTCTCGGCCGGCGGTCCACGCAGGGCTCCGCGCTGCCCGGCGTCTGCCTGAGGCTGGT